GTCCCACTGTGCTAACAGGGCTCTGGGAGGCCGCGTCCGTCGAGGCGAGGGTATGTTGTGAGGTCGGAGTATCCACGGCCGGAACGACTCTTCTATTGGTCCAGTGGATTCCGCTTTCTGATTGGCTGCCTCTGGTTTCGCTACTCCAAATGGTTCCGAGATGAAGACCGCTCCGAGGTGTACCCTTGGGGATCGTGGAGACGTTGGTCTGGTTATCTGGACCGCTGGAGCGTTGCTTAATGCTGCTGGTCTTCTGCTTCGGCGCCGCTCACTGTTCGGCGATAATGCTGTGCCGAACGGGTCTACATATGTAGACGCCGCGGCAAACTGTGCCTCCGCGCGACACTCGCGGCTATGCGCCACGTAGCGGCGGCGCGCGAACTGCGCGCGTCCTGCCGCTCGTAACTTTACTTTTTGGTGGCGGTTATTCTGACCGCCACACGTATATTAGTAGTATTAATTCTAATATAATTATAATTTGTAAATTACAAAAAGAGAATCTTCATGTTACAGATGCGTAATCTGAAAGTATTTAATTTATTTAACATATTATCTGAACATAATATATTAAATACTGAATTCGTATACTATGATTAAAATACTTCAAGAGTATATGTCTTTAAAATGTAGATTCTTTCTCTATCATAAGTTACACACAAAACAAAAATATACAAAAATGAACACTATAAAGTTTCTTTATATATGTTAAAAGGTTTTTCAATAATCTAAAAACTTTTAAATTTTTGCAGTTTCCTCATATTTAATTATTATGAAAAATATATAAAGCATCTTTAGATGTTTTACTATTATCAATACTATTACGTAGTTTTTTTATCACTGTAAATCTCGGAAAAGACTATAAATATAAGTAGTGAAACTATGAGAGTCCTAACTCAAGGTTTTGCGGGGGCGCGGGGTATGACGTCACAGAGGGAAGGGAGTGGACGTCACAAGGGAACGGGTAATGACGTTACGCGGGGAAGGAGGGTAATGACGTCACGATGACGTCACACAGTGGTGGGGGAGAGGGTGCGAGGCGTGACGTCACAGGAAAGAGATAATGACGTCACGCTGGGGCGTGGCACTGCAGGATATGACGTCACGCAGCGTCAGGAAATGAAGTGGGGGGCTCTTTATGGCGACTTTACACGTGCATCAGAAGCGACTTCATACGTGGTGTAATATGGCGGTTCGACAATATGGCGATTGCAAGGTATGTACTTGTTACTGCGGTAATATGCTTTCGATATGTGCCGCGGTATGCAACATTATACCCAGTATGCGCACAGTTGTAGTATGACTCATATCTTTTTTTAAATTAGATAAAAACATACTGATGATAACAAAAAATTGCGAACTGCGTAGTAGAGCGCAAAGTTGCAGAATTGCAATTGTTTTAGCGAAAATTAACAAATACAGTAGTATTCAGTTTTTATATTTAAATTGTATTTATGATGAAAAATATTGTTGTACGTATTTATTTCGATATGTGCCGCGGTATGCACCTTTATAAGCAGTATGGGCAAGTTGCAGTATGACTCATATCTTATTTTATATTAGATAAAAACATGCTGATAAGAGCAAAAAATTGCTAACTGCGTATTAGAGAAAAAAATGATGATGAAATAACTCATAAAGTTTGCAAAATATGCAGTTTTTGTCAGGTTTGACCGGTTTAATCACGTATTAAAGTAACATAAACCTATATTAAATAAAAATGCTGATGAAAACAAAAATTGCTAACTGCGTAGAGAAAAACAAAATAATGATAAAATGCAATTCTTTTGTCGGATATCAGATTTCACCAATTTGATCACGTACTAGAGTAACATAATATTATTTTATAGTACATTTAAAAAGTCAGCACAAATTGCTAACTGCGTAATAGAAAAGAACAATTGCGCAATTAGTACATTCAGGTTTCATTGATTTGGTCACGTAGTAAAGTAACATAAACTTTTTGCAGCTTTTATGAATATTTATACCATCGTGACCAAACTGACATAGACATATTGTGTAACATTAAAAAGATAGAAATCATGTTTAACCATAATCGAATCACAAATAAACCACGAACGAATTATGCGTAACCATAAGCAAACTATAAACAAACCATATTTAACCATAAACAAACCACGTTTAGCCATAAGCAAACCACAAACAAACCATGTTTAACCGTAAACGTACCATAAACAAACCACGTTCAACTATAGAGCCACTTCCTGACGCCGCGTGACGTCATATCCTGCAGTGCCACACTCCCGCGGGACGTCATTGTGACGTCATTTTTCGCGTTACGTCACTTCTAGACGCTGCGTGACGTCATATCCTGTGACGTCATTAACCCTCCCACGAGTGAAGTCATTACCCCTTTTCCTGTGACGTCACGCACCCCTTCTTCCCTGTGTAACGTCATCGTGACGTTATTACCCCTCTCCCGCGTGACGTAATTACTCCTTCCTCTATGGTGTCACGCTCCGCGTCTTCTCCCCTCTCCTGTGATGTAATACTCCGCGTCTCCGGTAAAACCCTGGATTAGAACTCTCGTAGTTTCACTACTACTATATAAATCAAGAAATATATAAGGCCTTACGTGCCGTTTTCAGGATGTTAAGCGGAAACTGTACGTGTATTGATATACTACCATGATCAAAAAATAACCGGATTTTTTAATTTAAACCTCGCGGGCTTATCGGTTTAGAATTCTGTTGTTTGTGTCACGTTGGCAGCACTGTTACGGACACCCATGCCAAGCTTCTGCTTATCAGCTGTTCATTTCCCTTTATGACAGTGATTTCTTTACATCAAGTTTTTACGTCGCGGCGATTTTTACAATGGATTCAAAACTTGAACAACGTTCTTGCATTAAATTTTGCTATAAAACTGAAATTAAGTGTTCCGACACATTAAAAATGTTACAAAAGTGTTATGGTGACGATACTCTATCGAAAACACAGGTGTACCAGTGGTATGAACGCTTTAAAAGTGGTCGTGAGGCTGTTTAGGACGATGCTCGTCCTGGGAGGCCATCGACATCNAAAACTGATGAAAACGTCGATGAAATCCGACAATTGTTGATCGAAAATCGCAAATTGACGATAAGGGAGATAGCTGAGACCACCAACATATNATTCGGATCCGTTCAGAGCATTTTGCGTGAGGATTTGGGTCAAAAAAATCATAAAATTTTATCTCATAATGCGTTGATTATTTGTGAGTTTCTCGTCAAAAACAACACCAATACCATTCAACAACCGCCCAATTCACCTGATCTGGCACCATGTGACTTCTTCCTATTCGATCGACTCAAAAAACCACTACGAGGAACTCGTT